TGAACAAAAGCGTCCTCACTAACTACAGGTAACTGTTTCCCCAGCGCCAGCGCGGCTATGGGGGCGGGGGGAGGCTGCCGAGCTAGCTGTAGTGTAGCGGCTGGGAAGTTGCGGTGGCTGGGGTAGCGGAGGAAGCCAGCCGAGCCCGTTAGCTCCGCTGTCCGCTAGCGAGGTTCTTCACTGCCGCAGACAGAGACTTTACTTCCTTTGCCTTGTTGTATTTCTAAGTCGTTTCTTGTTTTGTACACGTTGACTAACATTGAGGTGCTTTTTAATCTGTCCCTCCAGGTTTCCCTCATCAATATGTGTGGGAATAGGACAAGTAAGTTGGGGTTTCTCATGGCTCTTTGTAAGCGGGTCATTGGTGACTAAAGCAGGCAGATAGAGCTGAACTGATTTCCTCTGGCGTGTCTTTGGTGCAGATGTTGGCCACAGTGGTTGTGCTGTGGGTGGGCAAGGCTGCGAGGGTGATCACCTTCCCAGATTTGGATGAGAGCATACCTCACAAGGTAAGATTCACAAATACTCAAGTTCATAAAAGATGCACAATTTGATGTTCTTTATTTCTTTTCTTTGTCTTGTTTTCATGCATTTGTAAACTTAATGTTAAATCCTTGCCTTTCCAGACATTTCCTCTACCTCTCCTGTATGTGGGAAATCAAATCACTGGTCTTTTCGGTACCAAAAGGCTCAAGTAAGCACTCATCTATGCACTGATCTCACAGAATAACGTGACTCGGTGGCTCATTCTCCTCCACTTTGTGTCCTCTGCCACCAGTTTGCCGATGTTTACAGTCCTCAGGAGATTCTCCATCCTTTTCACGATGCTGGCTGAGGGATTTCTGCTGAAGTAAGACTAGCCATGACAAGATAACCCACTTTATTTCTCCTTCAGATGTTGAATGTGACACAAAACGTAATGCCGGTTATTTTGCTCCTCAAAGCGGTCGGATTGAGTTTCGTTGTGTTTGACCCCCATGGCAGGAAGAAGTTCTCCAGGCCCGTCCAGCTGACAGTGTTTACAATGATCCTTGGGGCGTTCATAGCCGCAAGGTGAGCTTCTACTGTTTCCAGGTGTCCTGGCTTTTACCCGCACCGGGATTACCTTCACTACAAAGCGCGCCGTTATCTTGATATATGCTCACAAAAGAGTTGTTGTGACCTTTAGGAGCACCGCCGCCCATCTACAGTAAAAGACACCAAGCTGAAATACAACATGGCAAAAAAAAAAAGACTGTTTGATTTATATGCTTTTTTTCTCCTCTTTTATGTTTAAAGTGCCGACTTGTCCTTTGACCTGCAAGGCTACGTCTTCATCCTGATGAATGACGTCCTGACCGCAGCCAATGGAGCCTACGTGAAGCAAAAATTAGATGCAAAGGTATGTGGTGGGACCATCTTGATGAATGGTGGCCATTGTTGGGATGGATTCCTGATGCGATTGAGTTCCTGTTAACTCTGGAGAATCAAACCCCTCCTTTACTGATTCATGGGTCGCAGTTGTTTCTTAAGTCAAGTTATTTTACTCTTAAAGTAAATTCTTCAACATTGAAATGTGTTTTTTTTTACCCTCAGAAACTACCTTCAGACTGCACTTATATCCCTTTTCTTGCATGCAATGGGGGAAAAAGTTGAATCAATAATGCTTTGTTAGAGCAGGAACGAGTTTTAGCTTGTTTTATTTCAACTTTTTATGTCACAAGAGCAGATTGCTCAACTCTCACATTACAGCAGGATCCAGATTTAGCCCGCGATGTCTAGAGTATACCATCTGCTTGTGCGGAGCAGCACTGATAAAACCAGGGAGTTAGAGATGGGAGACGGAGCTGGACGAATGCGTAGAAGCGGTTCAGCGTCTTGGCAATGCATGACATCAGTGCTCTGTCTGGAAATGTAGTAAATAACTCCCCCTTTCTCCTGTTTTTTTTGTTTTTTTGTCACAGGAGTTAGGGAAATATGGATTATTATACTATAATGCATTATTTATGATCGTGCCCACTCTGCTGTTGGCTGAAGTGACAGGAGACATGCAAAAGGTGAGTGATTTGACTCTCCTTCTTGTGTTTTGGTCCTTTTAATTAAAATAAAACTCTGGATTTATCCCTGGTGATTCCACATTCTCTTTTAGATAAGCGTATCACTTCCATTGTGTCCATCAGCTCAATTTCTTAAACTGAATGCCATAAATATGAGCTGTTCCTTGTGTGTGTTGTTTTTTTATTTTTTTTTGGTAAGTCTTGGCAGGGGCCTTGCGGTCCGCCCAGCTGGGCCTCAGCAGCCCGAGAAGCACAAAGATGCCATTATTCACCTAGCCGAGTTGTTCTAGCCGTTCCAGCAGCAAGTCTGGGCCGAATCACTACAGTAGAGATACAGTCAACGGCGTTTCTTCAGCAGATGGGATATCAGCGCTGGCTCTTAAAGAGGGGAGCGGTGCCAGGAAATTTAAAAACCTTTTCAGTGCTTCCACTGAACGCCGTTCTGTTTCCATCCGCTGAACCCTGACGTTGCCACACCCAAAATCAGTGACTCAGCGATTCCTAATTGCGAGGCACCTTCCCCCCGTTTATGAATTTGTGCTCTTTATTTCATGCTGATTCCGGCGCTTTGCTTCCGACTGCAGGCAGCAGAGTTTGACGGCTGGTCTGATGCGTTTTTCCTCTCCCAGTTCGTCCTCTCTTGCGTCATGGGGTAAGATCTTTGAACACATTCATGTTCGTGTAGCCGCATCTGGAATCTCGCTGAGTGAATGTGGTTTTTAATCGGTGATGAAATCTGGATGCCACTCGTGCTTGACATTAAATCACTTAAACGTCAACTTGTAAACGTTTCTCCTTCCCAACCCCCGTTTTTAGGTTTATTCTCATGTATTCCACTGTACTATGCACACAGTACAACTCTGCGTTGACCACCACCATCGTGGGGTGCATTAAGGTGAGCCGCGCCGTTTCAGTAAAGCTGCAGACGAATGCAACCAGACACCAAACGCATTGCTTTATTGTTGTTGCAGAATGTCCTGGTGACCTACATTGGGATGGTGTTTAGCGGAGACTACATTTTCTCTTGGACTAACTTCATAGGTTTGAATATAAGGTATGAAAAGGCTCTTTGTCATTGAATGTGCTCGGTTGTTGTGTTTTCAAGTTGTTTTCAGAGACAAAAAGATGAGTACGCTTGTTACTCTTAATAAATATTGTCATAAAATAGCAGCTGTACATGATTTGGTGAACATAAAGATAGGCCTTTCATCACTTAGAAACCTTTGGAGACTTGTTGCGTGCTAACTCATTTAGAGTGTGTGTCGTTTGCAGTATTGCGGGCAGTTTGGTGTACTCGTACATCACCCTCACCGAGGAGCAGTCCAACAAACCGAGCGACAGCACCAAGAACGAGATCAAGGGGAAGGTCGTCGTGTGACACGGACACTGGATTTGATTCTTTTAACGCCGGTTAGCGAGAAAACTGTATTTTTAGTACGACTTTTATTTATGGGGAGCCCTAGCAGCAGATTGATTGAAAACGCCGGGAGTGGTTCTCCGTTTCTGCTGCGCGTCTTTAACGGAAAAGGAGCCGCACTGTCACGCTGCTGCTATGGCTACCGAATCCCCCCCAGAGGGATTTTGTTGCAGGATTTTTTTAGATAATGTTTTCACATATCTTATAATGATACTGTACATGGGAATGATGAGAACAAGGGAACAATAATATTTATATTCATGTTTTTAGGTTTTCTTTTCTTTTTTTTTAAGAGGAAACTTTATTTCAGGGTTTGAACATTTCAGAGTTCAATCTTAGGATTATGTATCGTCATCAGCTGTTGTAAGCATGAGCGTACTGACGCATCACTGGGATAAGAGTCATGGTTATTTAAAAGGATCTTTTTTTAAAGCCTTTTCTGTTTTTTGCTGTTTACACTTTGGTACCCTCTGAGAACGACGAAATGCACTGACGCTGTCTGTCCCCGTCTTTAGCCTTTAACGTTTTGCAGTTTCCTGGCAGATGCTGTTGTTAATCTGTTACAGACTGTATGGCAGTGATGTGGAGAGACGATACGAAGAGATTATTTGGATCTTCCTCCTTCAGTATTAGAGTTTTCTGTCGTTAGGGTTATTTATTTTTTATTCTTAAACCCTGTAACCCGTTGTGTCGATTGAAGAATTTGGCAAGCAAAACCTTGTGGGGTTTTAGTTTGCGTTGTATTTTTAAAATTTTTTATAATTTTTTTTTTACATGGTCGTCTCGCACTTTTAACAGAGGTAGCTCTCACAAAGCAGTACAAACTAAATCTCACCTGCTGTTATATTTGACTGGTAAAACTTGGAGATTGTCTGATCCAGGAATTCAAGTTTCTGGCATTTTAAAGTATTACAAGGGGATTTGTTTTATATTTATTCCTTTTGTTACTCCTTTTCTCTCTGTAAGATGAGTAATTATTGATGCTGATAAAAAAATAATTTGTAGCTGGGAAAAATGTATTTTTTACATTGAAAAATGACCATTAGCATTTTTGTTTTTTTTATTTTTCTCTTTCAATAAATTTTTTTATATAAAGCTCATTGTTAATGGATATAAATTGTTTTGAAATAGTCTTTACCGTTTGTCATTGAGCACAAATTGGGACACATTTGTATTAGATGAGTTCAGCCTGTTTAGCGGTTGTTTTAAGTGCCGAGTCATGAAACAGTTGGACTAGCGGCTAACTCACCAATCACACTCAAGTTTGGGTTTCCTCCATTATGAGTCGGCCTCAGTAACCTTCAACTACACTGTGGGTCACTTCTTTGACTTCATATAGGTTCATAATGAACAAATAAATGTGAGCTCTGTTTTTTTCTTTGGTTCTACTATTGCTGCACATTGTAGCTTAAGGGAATGATACAAACTGATTATTTGTTTAGATATGAACCCACAACCAGCAGAAAAATGTGCTTACCGTTACGCAGTATAAATTAAGCTGATTTCACTTGTTCTTACCCCTGAAAAATATGAAACACGACAGATTATGAAACAAACTTTAAATAAAATTTAATGAAAAAAAGTCATGTTTAGACAACGTGTTTAAAAATCCCACAGATGTGAACGGAAGACAAAACAAATCACCTTAACCCTACAACCTTCATCTCACCTACATAGATATAAATATTGACACATACATTTCTTCTTTATATATTTACATGTTTACACAAGAAAATACGATTTAAAACAGCTACCAGACAACATTGCATTGTTTTTGCCATTAAAAAAAAGAAAACACCTTCACCAGTCCAGGCCAAACTTCAGAGTCTACTCAGCTCCAAATATCTCAGGACAGTTTCTGGTTGTGGTTCTTTCCCTCAGGTCAGATACAGTACATGTGCATCCAAGAGCAGCACAAACCAGAGCGACAGACGAGAATTTACCCATATATTAATTTTGAAAATACTTGAAAAGGAACTGAAAAAAAAAACCAGTTGAGTAACATCTTCTTTTCACAATATAAAGCAAAATAAAATGGTACAAACGGCATGTTATGTTGGAAAACATAACAGATCATACCCACTATGACATTTTAGTTTCTGTTGATGTCTGTTTCCCCCTTTACCAGATAATATAAATACAGCGACGTACAATAATCTGTTAAATAAGCCAAACTAAAATCCTTCACCTGTATGTACAAAAGATGACTCTTTAGAAAAATATTATGCATTTAAAAACTTTAGGTGAGATTGCAAATGACTGTAATGCACCACACCAACCAGGAACAATAGCACCTAGCAAGAGGACATTATAAAGTACCGTTTATCAAATCGTTATTTATGAGCGCATCTGTAGTGATTGGCTCTTTGTGTTTTCTTCATAAAACACATCTTTATTGGTATGCATGCTACTGTAAGCAACCTGTCAGTTTTATTACTAATCCCTGAGGTTACAGCCACAGGGAAAACAAAATGTCAACTTGATACTACATAGTGTTACCACAGATAATTCATCAAAATAAACCTGAACTGAGATTCTAAACGTAAAAAAAAAAAAAAAAAATCTTCCAAATGACTTCTGCATCAGTGCAATCACTAAATTCTTCAGGTAGGAATGCTGCTCAGCTGAACTGATGCTATTCCCAGCAGCTAACAGACATAGAAGGTCCAGCCAACCAATCAGATGACAGAACCTACCCACTGCCTTAAAGCTCACAGAGTGAACTGCCTCCATGACAAACGTAACTTCTGTGACAGTGCGAGTCTACCCTGGAGCTTGCTGTACAGCTGTCTAAGTGTTCATACCCGTCGTTTTCATACCACATACCAGCCAGGAGAGCTAAAGATAGCACACCCTTCCACTCTGAAATGTGAAAGGTGGGACAGAAAGCCAGACAAACCTGCAAAACTACAAAACTGCAGAAACTCCACCCTAAACAGTGAGAGCAGGAGTGAGCTGTGCAGAAGCACTTCCTTCAGTGAAGGTTCTGGTATGTGGGTATTTAAAAAGAAACGATGCAATCCACATTAACCCAACTATTCCTACACGACCTCACTTTTTTTTAAATAGCAAAAGCATTCAATTGACGTCAGTTAATAGTACGATACCGTATTACATCTGTAAAGGTAAATAAAAAGAAATCTGAAGGCAACCACAGCTGTCAGCCAATCTAGGTGAAAGGTGAGGCATTGCAGGCACTGATTCATCTCTCTAAAAATCCTGAGGCGAGACAAGAGGGACGACTGCCACCAACCAATGCCCGTTCCTTTCATTACTTGTGAAAATTCAAGGAAAACAGGGATCGCCTGACGTTTCGCCTCAGATTAAATGAAAAAAGTAAGGATTTAAATACGTCCACCGCTGCCAAATATCAAAGATTTATTTGATTTTTTCGGTAGCGTCGCAGTAAGAGATTGGAGTCCAGCTGAAGGGTGTCGGCTTTACAGATGTGAGAGGTTCTCTGCCATGTAAGAGAGGCTGTAAAAGTTGCAGCCAATGCAGCAGAGGTTACACAGAGAGGACAGCAGCCGGTACACCCACAGGCGCCTGCAGAGATGCTTGTATTTCACGTCCGACTCGCACAGCTTGGCGTAAGCCTCGCGGTTAGACGAAAGTCCAATATCCTGACCCAGGCCGCACGCCTGCTCGATGAGGTGCATGTCGGCCATTATCTCTGACGTCATTTGGCCAAACCACTGAGCGTTGACGGCCGCGACCGTCACCGACACAAAGAAGATGAAGATCTGGAGACGAAACATCGGGTTTATGAGGAAAAGGCAGGCGAGACAAGCAGTCACATCGAGGAAGACAAGAAATCCATTGCAGTTTGTGGTTTTAACGTGACAAAGAGAGTAGAATGACTATTTTCGTACAGCATATAAACCCCCAACATACCTGAAACGATTCCCTGTCATCCAGTATGTCTCTGGGATGGTACACAGCGTAGATGGAGAGGTTAAAGAAGGCACAAGCTGAACCCAGGTGGAGGTAGAACGGAACAAGACGACTCTGAATAAACCCGTAAGTGTGTCTGTTCAGGTTGTTGTCCATCACAAAGCCTAGAGAAATCACAGTTTTTCTCTTAATAGTTAATACTTAAACTAGAACATCATTAATAAGATAATTCTCAACATTAACAGTTTCTGATTTGTGGCGTTGAAGGTGATTGTCAAGAGTTAATTTATTCACTATCATGACTGATAGTACTTCTAGAGTACTTTTAAGAAGCTGCTCTTTTGTGGCCTAAAAGAGATTCCTTTCATTGTTCTCATAATTAACAACTTAAGTTGATGGTTTACAAGGAAACTTTAACATCTTTTTTGTTTTTTTTGTTCTTTTGTTTGTCGTTTTCTACTTTCTTTATAACGAGTCATTTAGGATGACAGCTTTATTTAAATGTTCAGAATGTGGCATGTCAAGATAATGAAAAAGCCCATTTATTTATTTATTCCAAGGTATTATCCTTACAGATGTCATCAGAAATGTCCTACATGAGCTCAAATAACAAGAACAGAGCTTCTTTCTTCCTCTGGTTCTTGTGGAGCCGGATCAGATTCTCTTACTTTTATCACACAGTCAGTTTTTGTTGTTATTAAGGTGTACAGTTGGCATAACAGACTGTTTATACCAGCTGTACCAAAAATTAATTATTTTCTGGGAGAAGGAATTCATTTTTGCCAAATGTTTTTGATATATATCCTAAAAAAAAAACAAACAACAAAAACACGAGTCTTCCAAAGAAATGCCATAAAATCTGAATTTTCATCCAAGCGCTTCTTCCATGACTGCTTTTGAAAATGCCTACTTTTAAAAACAACCTGAAATCTCAGCAATAACACTGCAGTACCGTTTTTGTTTTAATTCTACAAGAGCATCTCCGGTGCTGGAGACGTTTCTTCTCACGGATCACACAGCAGTGACAGAGAAAGCGTCACAAGGTGGAAAGTCACAAGATAAAGTTTTCACACGCTCCCTTTTGCAGAAACAAACAGCACCTCACAAGTAATCAAGAACATTATAACCTCAGCTGATCACAACTGTTTTTACACTACAAGTGTGCCCGCTAAATGTTAGCTTCTAGTTTTAGTTATTTTGTGATTTGATACTTTATAAACAAACACTAGCTGAATCTGATTTACTGTCCATACGCTGTAAATGCCGTGGGGTTCTGGTCCGATCGAAAACTGATAAAACCATTAACATCCTGCATGTCATGCCTGAACACTTCCTTACTGTGCGCTAACGTCAGATCTACACAAATCGACATATAATGAATAAGTGAAACTATCCATATATGCACTGCTCACAAGAAGTTATGATAAGTCTGCTTGAATATCCTGTGTGTGTGTGTGTGTGTGTGTGTGTGTGTGGTACCCACTTGAAATAAAAGTGACCCAAATTTGCATCCCCCAGTAGGTAGAGAGAAGCAGCAGCTGCAGCAGCTTCATGGTGTAGGTCGGCTCCTGGTCAGTCGCCATGATGTTCTCCACAACTTCTCACCTCTCTGGTCTGTTTTCAGGAAAAAAAAAAAAAAAAAAACACTGTGCAGATATACACTGTGCCTCCTGCCTCAACTCCAAGCTTACCCCCTTTGTCATGAGGGTACTTGATACTGCATTAGAAAGACCTTTTGAATAAAAGTCCCTCTAAAGATTGGACGATAGCTTCCAAGAGAGAGAAAAAGACTATAGATTCAATACGTCAAAAGAAATTTATCGAGGGTGTCGTCTGTCTAGCTTTCTTATGTTTTTGAGATGTATTTCTGTCAATTTTGACATTAATGCATTTGAAACTTCCGCCCTGTTGTCAAGGTAACAGGCTAGCAGGGCTTGACCTCACCTAACGTGTGTGAGATTCTACAAGCTATAGCCAAGAAGACCATTTTCTCTTTTTTGCACCTCAAAATATGCGTGTTCAAAACAAATAGTGAAACTGGAAATAGCATTTAAACATAATGCAAAAATTAATATAGAAAGCAGTAAATACTTTGATAGTAAAGAAATAAAATGTCTTCAGTCTACCTCTTAATCGTCGGGGCAAATTAGTGAAGAAGAGAAATAAATTCCACTAACCAGCAGCTAACAGGTAGTTGAATAACCCACGATTTATTACAAGCGAAGTCGTTCTGAATTCAACTGAGAACGCGTGAATAATAGTTAAGTTGTAACATTAAAAGTGAAGCTCAGTTTACCTGTGTTGTAAAAGGCGTCAGGAGAAATTTCTCCGGTCAGAAACGGCACTCACTTTACTTGCTGACAGCCTCGTTTGCTCCTTGAGCTCACTGCAGTCACACCGGTTCAGAGGGCGGAACCTCTTCTTCTCTGGGGTTTATAGTAGTTTTCAATCCAGTCAAGTTGCATTACCGCCCCCTGTCGTGTCATCCGGTTACTGTCTCTTTTTTTTTTCCAGTAGTCGAAATGAATCGACCACCAGTCTTTTTAGCTTCTCAAATGGACTTGTTCTTAGTCTGCCATTATTTTTTATAAAACAGACTAATTCAAATTTACAAAAAAAGAAAAAGAGGAAATATGATTATGATGTCACCAAAGGAGGAGAATTAACTTTATTATAAAATATATTTTATTTGTTTGATTCTGACATTAAAATAGCAAGATTTATGTTTTTTGGTTACAAAAAAAACAATTTCCACAATAAATTACCAGGAGCTGTTAGAAGTTTAAAACACATAAGGAAATACTGCCAAACATTAAATTTTAAGATAAAAATAAGATTTAATAATAATAATCTTTATTATCATTATAGAAACCATGTAATGAAATTTATTTCATTATTTATCCAAATAGGATCTGTCCAGACAAAACTAATCAAAAATAGTCACGCCTTTTTTTCATGTTGTACAAGAAGTTTGTCACTGTACCAAAATAAGAACTAAAGTGTAAAAAATAGTAGTTCAACAATTAGAGGTGTATTCTAATGTGTAGGAAGTTTGTTTTGGTTGAACCGCTCCAAGAAGAGTAGCTGGTTTCAGTGGTGCACAGCACCGTGGTGTAACGCTGGCGTAGGAATTCAGACCGGAGAGCCCAGAACTCGGGCTCAGTGGCGGGCAGATTTACAGATTTTATCATAAACTTCAGGGAACGCTTCCTTACAGCCCAGCTCGGCTCTTAGTTTGTGGTACAGATGTCCATCGAACATCTCCCAAAACTCCTCTCGATCCATGTACACATCCGCATACAGCATCTGGAACCTGCAGAGGAGCATTTAACATGCAACAACAGAATGTCAGGTGTTGTATGGAACAATCAATTATTTTAGGTTATTCAGACGATTAATCGCATGAGGAAAATTGGCACACTGCAGATTTTTCATGTAACTACTTCAGGATTTTTTAGACAATATTAGAAATTGACACATTTTTGCATTAACCATTTAATAAATGGATAGCAAATGGTGCGTAACAGGAGACCCCTAAGCTCAAACCACCACTTGAGGAGTTCTGAATAAGAAAGATTTTGTTTTTCTTTTTATCTTCAATGCAAATGTAATTTTTTTTTTTATGCTTAAGTATGTTGTCCTTTCAGCAAACAGCATTAACATTTAATCCAGTTAACAATTAAATGATTACTAAATTAGTTGACGATTATGTCAATAATCACGATTAATCGTTTCGGCCCTGGTCACATGGGTTTCAAGTTTTGGCTTTCAGGCAGGGGGCTTACCCATGCACGTCTCTGACAAACTTCTCCAGCTGACGCGTCGACGTCTTGGCTTCGAAATGTTTGACCTTTGGCTCGCCGTACGCTCCGATGTCCACGTACAGCTCCTCCTCCTGCTGGGCCTTGGGGTGGACCATCCCTCTGCCGGGCGGCAGCAGGAACGGGCACAGCCACAGCGGGTAAACCTGGGGAGAAAAAAAAAAAAAAAAGCACAAGTTGCTCTCACGATTCAAGCGAGACGCAGTTCATCATGAACAGAGTGCAACGTGACACGCCGATCAATATTTTGAGTCTCACATTGATTTCCTGGTGAAAGCGAGTGATGGCCGCCTGCAGATGCTTCATGGGTACCAGCATGTCCTGGACCACGTGGTGCTGCTCGTACAGCCGTCTAATGGTTTCTCCCTGGGTGAGTTTCAGCAGAGAGATCTTAGGGGGAACCATCCATCCAAAGAGCCAGCGGAACACGGGGTTGTTGCCAAATGGGATGATATCCTGCAAAAGAGGCGCAGACAACAATAGCTTTCCTCACAAAGTGGTAAAAATACAGCCTATTGTTATTATTGGATATTTTTTTTATCTAAAAGTTTAGCTGTGAAAGATATATTTTGGCTTTTAGGTGCTACGATCAGAAGCTGGAGGGTAACAATCATTAGCTTCTAATAATGTGTTGTTTTTTTTCAGTGGGTGAAATAAATTCAAGACAATTGACTTCGGCCGTTATCGTGCATTACCTTCCAATCCACACAGAGTCATAAATACACATACCACCTTGAAACTACACGCACAACCTCATGAAAATGTTGTCCTTCAGCAAGCTGCACCTCAACCTCAATACGTCTACAAGCTTCTGGGATAATTCTGGTCGGATATTCGATCACCCTTCTTGGCAGAAATGGCAGTAGTTCATTTCGATGGGTTGGGTTTCCGGCAGGGATCTGGCTTTTACGTGCGGCCCATAAATTTCAGTGTGGTTCAGCTGGACAACTTTTCGATGTTACAACGACTCCAAACTCGCTACAGAGCTGGTTTGGAAATTGATTTTAAAAATTAAAAAACAAAAAACACAAGTTCATATTAACTTTCGAGTCAAATCAGAGCTAGGAAGGTTGGTTTTTACATGAAAAGAAACTGTGAAAATCTGTTTTTTTTTTTTCTTTACACACTCATGTTCATATGTTTCTCACAAGAAAATACTCTGAAAGTGGAAGTGGGGAGTCCATGGGTTCTTCTGTCCTACGCAATCTTCTTCAGTTTTCCTAAATTTCCACCAGAGGGCAGCGCAAAATCAACAACTTCTGTTTGAGGCCGTCAAATTCAACACCTGGTTAATTTCCATCACAGACTGCCCTATTTCTGTCTGCATTTCAAGTGAAATGTAAACAGAGACAAGCTCCTTAAAAAAATAAATAAATAAACATAAAAAGGTAGCAGACTAATGCTCAGAGGACTCTACCTTAGGCATCTGTCAAACCAGAACTATGCATAATTCATCAGGCCATTTACTGTTACTGAAAACACCACTGTCAGGCTATTCTCACTAATGGCTAATGGCGTGTGTGCACGGTGTGTGTGTGTGTGTGTGACTGGTGGAGCATTAGAGCATTAGGAAGCTAGGGGGAAATGAGCAGGCGAGTTGTTAAAATAGTCTAAGCTCCTGGAAACAGGGACTCTGTGTGACTGGGTGGACCTGTTCATCAGTTTATGATTAACAGGAGTCTCATTATGTCTTTGTGACGACCTAAATGTCTGATTTCTATAAGCTGGACTGTCTGATGACACTACAGAATAGGCTGATAAAATTAACCACTAATAATAACTGTTTATTATTAGACACAAAGAGATTTGAAAGCGTAAAGGGATAGATTCTGGATATTTGGTTATGTTAAAAGTAAACAAGTAGTTAGTATACGAGTTGGGCTGGAACAATTAATCGGATTAATCGATTATTGAGATAATTGTGAATTAATTCAGTAATCGATTCATTTTTGGTTGCGACATACAGACAAAAAAACAAGGCCATTTAGTGAAAGAACAACATGCCCACAGCAGTAAATAATGAAAACTGTACTAAAAATATATATATATTTTACATTTAAGATTAAATAAAAAAAGATCCTCTGTCTGTAAATGCATTATACCCAGAACTCCTCAAGTGTCAAAGGTTTTAGCTTCACCCAGTTCAAGTTGGGAAGGGAAAAATCTAGAAACTTTTGCTAAAGAAAAAAAAAAAATCAACAGATTAGTACTACTCTACATTGATACATTGATGCTAAGTCAAGCAGGAATGGCAGCTTTTAGCATGTTGAAATGTTGTTGTATTTTAGCCAATAAAATGTTTGCTTTCTTTTTTTTATTGTTTATTGGTGTATTTTAATGCATTTAATGCACTTAAATTGTATGAAAAAGCCTAAATGAAAATTCTGCAAAATGTGCCAAAATTTTATCCGACTAATCAATTAAATTGTATTCCTATCATCTCAAAACAGCTTTACCCTCAAATACGTCACAGCGCTTAAAGCCACCGCTTTTTTAAATGAACCTATAAAATGACGTCACATTTGCATTATCCGGTTATCTACACCAAAACTGACATTTACATGGGAAAAGTAGGTTGGAGGCGGTGCGCCAACAATAACCTTCCTACGTGAAACGTACAGACAGCCGGGTATGTAAAGTAGAAAATAAATAATCATCTTAAGTACAAGTGTTATTAAAAGCAAAAATATGAGTTTGCTGGCACAGGTACAATTCAGAGGAATATACACACACACACACACACGCACACAAACACACACACATGGACACAAAGTCTCACTGTTATTGGTAATATAAGCCTCTCCCCTCACGTTAAACTTTACTGCCATGCCTTCCTCTACTATTTACAGGGAACAATAAAGACTCATGTCCTAAGTATGAAAACTAAAAGGATGAGGTCGTTGGTTTCCATGTGAGTTTTTCAGCAGCAGCCGAGACTTTTTCCAGTAAGATGCCTCTCGGTGCATTTTGCTGCTTCTGTTTCCTCAGGTAAGTACACCTGGAAAAACAGCACTATATTTCTATATGCGAGTTCTTTTTTTTTTCTTCAGCAGACAGGATTTCTAAAAGGCAGACGTTAATTTATTAAAGAGGAATACAACCATACAGTGATTTAAAAGTCCACTAATGGAGTGGTAATGGGCTCCTTCAAATGTTTAGATTCCTTTTACTTTCTGATGATGAAAACATTTTTAATATTTGAAATGGGGTTGCTTTGGAAATTTGCTACATTTGCAGGAAAGGTCAGGTTGCAAGTACTGAGAAATTACATAATCAATACGCTAATTGGTGAACGACATCGTAATAATCTATATAAAACTTCATTTCAAACAAAACTATGAGCTCAGCTCAGGATGTTTAGGTGGTGAATTATTAATAGTAAATCGTAAACTCAGTGGCACAAAGACAAGAAATTTCTCAATTTTTCACCTCGACTCAAAAATCATGAAATTTCCCTTTAAGAAAACAGAGAAGCCGTTTGAACTCTGTTCCTGTGGGAAAAGCGTCATGTGGTCCACTTTTTATTTTATTTTCCAACAAAACAGCTTTAACCAACCGCATGAAAACAGTAAATGAGCAGCTTCACAACCAATGTTATTTTCTTCGATTACAAGCTGATAATGGGAGGATTTATTGGATTTAAACCAGAGGATCAGTCAGCAGGGAACGACGTTCTCACT